GGCGGATGTCAGGTGGTGCGATACCGGCTAAGCAGTGTAATTTCTCCAGTGGTGTAGGGCGCAGACACCCCAAGATAATGCAGCATGCCTCATTCAGAGCCACATCCACTGTTTTAGCGTGGTGAGATGTGTTCCACACTGGGCATGCGTACTCAGCAGCAGAGTAGCATAGCGCAAGGGCAGATGTCTTCACTGTGTCTGGTTGTGATCCCCAGGTTGAGCCAGTCAGCTTTCATATGATGTTGTTTCTAGCACCCACTTTTTGCTTGATGTTCAGGCAGTGCTTCTTGTAGGTCAGAGCACGGTCCAGAGCGACTCCCAGGTATGTGGGTGTGCTGCAATGCTCCAGTGGGATTCCTTCCCAGGTAATCCTCAGAGCTCGGATTGCTTGTCTGTTCTTGAAAGGCACATGTCTGTGTTTTAGATAGATTAGGGATCAGCTGGTTTTCCCTGTAATAGGCAGTAAGAGCACCTAGAGCTTCGGAGAGCTTCTGTTCAACCATCTCAAAGCTCCCTGCTTGAGCAGTAATGGCACGATCATCAGCATAGATGAAGCTCTCTGTCCCTTCTGGCAGTGGCTGTGATATCGAGCTCTTTTAGGGGGCCTCTCCAGGGAGGAGAGCCCAAGGACCGCATCAAAGTGTCCTGGATACCTTGGTGAGCTTTCTGGAAGCCAATCCAAGAGCGCAGAAATATTTAAAAGAATTAATAAGCTCATCAGAGGCGGAAGAAGTCCAGCGATCGAGGTTTATTTGCGATTCAGCTGAAAAGGATGCATTACAGGAATCATTCCACTGTAAGCATGCAGCACAAGAATTTACAGGCACTTTTATACAGTGAAGAACAAAGAAAAGCAGTTTGAAAATCCCGCCCGCCCCTCTGTCAGCCGGCTTCCTGCTGATTGGCTGAGGCTGGAACAGCTGGGAGGAGGTAATCCCGCCCTCCTCCGTCAGGAGCCAATGGGAGCGTTTCTTCGCCTGGAGAGGGCCAATGGGCGCCCTCTTCTCGCTTCCCGGGTTCTGTCCAATCAGGAGCGAGGAGGCGTGACAGCCGTGGACAATGGGGGAGAGATGATGGGATTTGGGATTTCCTGCC